GGATGACTCTTAACTTTTATAAAGAATATCTCTTTGGATTTGAGACTTTAGTCTTTGCAACTTTACAGATCTTCTTTATGCACCAAGAGCTTGTAACACTCCAAAGAGAAAAGAAAATTTGAAATCGCATCATATGACCCCTTTAAAAGGCTTTATATCAGGATTATATGAGTAAAATATTTTGCTAGAAGTCTGTAAAGTTCTGAGACCAGTGGTCACTAGGCAATGTGCCAAATAGTTTTCCCCAACACTTGATTTTGCGTCATCAGGCATTGCACATCACATATTTTAAGAGTTTTCTTAGTGCATGATTCTCGCTGGCCCTGTTCCAATGCTCCCCTCCCCCACGCTAGTTCCTTAATCTTACATGCTGCCTTTTTTTTCTTCGCGGAATCTCATTTTGGTCGTTAGGACTCATTTCCATGTGCATTGGCTCCATTGGTGCGCGTTCACGGCCTCACGCTTGCCGTATCATTTGATCAGGCGTGACGCGCCCCTGGGATCCCAATACAATCAGCCTTGGGTTTAATCTCGTGTCCATGAGCAGGTGCTTCGGGTTCAAGGTCTTTTGTTTCACCCCTAACTGTCGCCTCACAACGGGGATAAAAGACAATGAGCCCCATTGAGGGAACAATTGCGCTTTTTTCGGGGCGCCGCTGTTCACCATCTGCCCGTGTCTGCAAGTACAGGCAGCTGTATTAGCCTAGTATTTGAAGAGCATTTCGCTTCGTTCATTCATATTCATGAAAACATCTAATTTGGATGTTTCATCAACATTGAGCACTTAAGTAATAAATAATTTAGATTTATTATTGAATCTAAATAAATAATCTAAATAAATAATTTAGATTTATTATTGAAACAGAAAACAAGTGGAAAATAAGACGCCCTATAAGCTATAGCTATTATTGTGGGGTTTGTTAACGTTTGAGATATATAAATATAGATAGTTAGAACATTTATTGGCTATTTTACGACTTCGAACGCGAATGATTTGTTGATATTGTAATGACTAAAAACTAATAAATACATGACTTAAATATCTAAAATTTGTGAGTATATACGCAAGATTTTTTAAATATTTTTGAAACAGGTCTATATGCTGATGCATCCAAATATACAATAAAAACAGTACTATCGTGAAATATTACAATTTAAAATGACTATTTTCTGTTCGAATATATTGATGAATATATTAATGATCTAAAATGTAATTTAGTCCTGTGATGGTAAAGCTGAATTTTAATAGCCATTACTCCAGTCTTCAGTGTCTCACGATCCTTCAGAAATCATTCCAGTGTGTTAATTTGGTGCTCAAGAAACATTTCTTATTATTATCAATGTTGAAAACAGTTGTGCTGCGTAATATTTATGTGGACACCTTGATACATGTAAATTCAGGATTATTTGATGAATAGAAAGTTCATAGAACAGCATTTATTTAAATACAATTTTTATCTTTCATGTTTGATCAATTTCATTTATCCTTGCTGAAAAAATATATTAATTTCTTTAAAAAAA